GCTCACTGCAACCGCTGCCTCCCAGGTTAAAGCGATTTTCCTGCCTCAGCCTCTCAAGTAACTGGTATTACAGGTGCCCGCCACCACACCTGGCTAATTTTTTTTTTTTGGTATGTTTAGTAGAGATGGGGTTTCATCATGTTGGCAAAGCTGGTCTCAAACTCCTGACCTCAGGCGTTCTGCCTGCCTCAGCCTCACAAAGTGCTGGGATTACAGGTGTAAGACAACCACACCTGGCCTTTAATCCTTTTAAAATAAAACTCTTTTGGGGAATCATTTTCTTAGAGATTGCTGTAGGGTTTACAATATGGATCTTAAATGGTCTACATTATTTTTCCTTATTATTATTATTTTTGAGATGGAGTCTTGCTCTGTCACCCAGGCTGGAGTGCAGTGGTGCTATCTCATCTTACTGCAACGACTGCCTCCTGGGTTTAAGCAATTCTCCTGCCTCAGACTCCCAAGTAGCTGGGATTACAGGCACGCACCACCACGCCTAGCTAATTTTTGTATTTTTAGTAGAGACAGGGTTTTGCCATGTTGGCCAGGCTGGTCTTGAACTCCTGGCTTCAAGTGATCTGCCTGCCCTGACCTCCCAAAGTGCTGGGATTATAGGCATGAGCCATTGCACCCAGCAAACACAGTCTAATTGTTTGACTGATATTGATTTATTCCAGTAAAATATAGAAATTTTGCTCAAATATAGCTCCATCCTCTACTCTTACCTTTGTGTTATTGTTGCCACTCACATAACATCTTTATATGTAATGGGAACAACACAGTTTTACAATCATTGTCATATAAAATGTCTTTTAAACCAGTAAAAAATAATAGTATATTTATACTGCCTTTTATTATTACCTATGTAATTTCTACTATTGGTACTCTTTATTTTTTTGCAGTTTTTATGGTTTTATTTAAACATTTTATGTTTTAATAAACATAAACATATGGCCAGCTGGACTGCTCTATCTACAATGTCTTTGTAGTTATTGGAGGAAACACTGTGCGCAATCTCAGCACATTTGTTGCACATCAGCAGCACTTCTGGCTCCCTGACATTGTGGACCAGGAACTTCTGGAAGCACTTGGGCAGCATGTGCTTTGTTTTTTTGTTGCTGAATCTTCTCATCACTCTTTCTCATCCTTTTCCCATTTTGCAGAGTTTATTAATGTGTTTTCACATGTAAAATATATTAATTGGGAAACATGGACTTTGGTGTCTCTGAAGGAATAAAAGTAGGCAAATGACTTCCTGGACCTTGTAGGTAGATAGTGATGGTGAGTGCAGGTAGAAAATGAGAACATCGGGGTATAGCATCAGTCATTATTTTGAAACACTTTTTTGGTTTTTAAATTTGTAGTTTAGCTGGGCATGGTGGCTCACGCCTATAATCCCAGCACTTTGGGAGCTGAGGCGGTAGATCATGAGGTCAAGAGATCACGACCATCCTGGTCAACATGGTGAAACCCCATCTCTATTAAAAATACAAAAAAAATTGGCTGGGCATGGTGGTGTGTGCCTGTAATCCCAGCTACTTAGGAGGCTGAGGCAGGAGAATTGCCTGAACCTGGGAGGCGGAGGTTGCACCATTGCACTCTAGCCTGGGGAACAAGAGCGAAACTCTGTCTCAAAAAAAAAAAAAAAAATTTGACTTCTCTGTTATTAGTCTGCTGCTTCCTGTAACCAGTATCCTACTCCCAAGGTGGTGATGCCAGTTTTCCCTCATTATTTACCGCCATGAGGGTATGTGTTTATTTTATAATATCATTGGATAGGCATTTATTCCTGCTCTCCTTCAAGTCATGAATCAGAATGTCAGCTCATTCTGACTTGGCCTGGTAGAACTATCATGCAGACTTGCTAGATGGGAGGAAACGAAAGCTGTTCTTGGTTAAATTACCACACATTTCCATTATTCTCACCAAGGATTAGTAGTTCTTGAATAAATGCTTCTCAATTTCTTGCATATATTTGGTTCAGTTTCCAGAGCCCTGAAATGGTTGTTTGACCATTTTGTCCAGTTTCATAAGTACTTTTGGGGAAAAGGATTTACTAAGATCTTCACTTGGACATTCCAGAAATCATGATACTTATTTTTTTTAAAACATACTGACTGTAAGTTAGAGACAAATATTTGTTTCCCCTCATTGCATAGGAAGCAACCTGAATAATCCTTTAAAAATTATCACAGCCAGCCAGGTGCAGTAGCTCACACCTGTAATCCCAGCACTTTGGGAGGCCGAGGCAGGCGGATCACCTGAGGTTGGAGTTTGGAACCAGCCTAACCAAGGTGGAGAAATTCCATGTCCATTAAAAATACAAAATTAGCTGGGCATGGTGGCGCATGCCTGTAATCCCAGCTACATGGGAGGCTGAGGCAGAATCGCCTGAACCTGGGAGGCGGAGGATGCAGTGAGCCAAGGTTGTGCCATTGCACTCCAGCCTGGGCAACAAGCAGAACTCCACTGTCTTAAAAAAATAACAGATACACACAGCCAAATGAACTTTTATAAGTAAAAATAAAGGCAAAACAAAATAAAACTAAAAACAAATAAACAAAACCCATAGATGAAATAAATGAATTTGGAACCAACAATTTTAAATCCAGACTTATTAAAAAATACAAAAACCAAAAAGCAGATTATTGATGTTTTCAATGAAAGATGTCCTAGAGTTGATTCTGCCAGTCCTATGTAATTTTAGGTAAATTTCTCAACTTCTGTAAATCTCAGTTTCCTCTTTTACAAAATAAGAGACACTAATTTCATGCAGTTATCCTAAGGACCAGATGAGATAATGTAACTACACATATTTTGCAAAGAATAAATTTCTATGAAAATATAAGATTATATCAACCTTATTTTAAAAAATAGGGATGCTATGAGTAGTTGCAAAATAAGCCAATAAATGTAAATACAGGTTACACAGCATTCTTCCTATCTATGCTAAGTGATATTTACTTCAGAATATATTACTATAGCAAATTAGATTATAATATTGTAAGAAAAAATATTAGCCACTATAGCCACACAAAAGCCTATATGTATGTCCTTACAATATCTCATTTCTACATGTCAATATATTTTAAAATCTTATAATAGCTAAAAACCAGAGACAATCAAGACAATATAGTCAAGAATATGAAGAGAGTCTTCTGAGTATGAGTATTTTTAAAACTACATAAAAGTTGGGCACAGTGGTGTACACCTGTAATCCCCCCTATTCAAGAGGCTGAGGTGGAAGGATCTCTTGAACTTAAGAGTTCAAGACCAGCCTGGGCAATACAGGGAGACCTCATCTCAAAAAAGCCAAGACAAAAAAAAACAAAAAAAAAAACAAAAACTACATGAGACTAGAGTTTTATGATAGCAACATTAAAACAAATAGATTTTGCTTAATCTTCTTTAAGAAATAACCAAGCTGCTTTGCATGTGGAGTGGCCACAAATTTATTCCTTTATTATTATTATTATTATTTTTTTTTTGTGGCAGTCTCACACTGTCACCCAGGCTGGAATCCAATGGCATCATCTTGGCTCACTGAAGCCTTGACCTCAAGCAGTCCTCCCACCTCAGCCTCCCGAGTTGCTGGGACCACAGGTGTGCACCACCAAGCCTGGATAATTTTTGTATTTTTGTAGAGACAGAGTCTCACCATATTGCCCAGGCTGTTCTCGAACTCCTGAGCTCAAACAATCCACCTGCCTTGGGTTCCAAAAGTGCTGGGATTACAGGCATGAGCCACTATACCTGGCCCCTTTACTTTCTTAATAAACTTGCTTTCACTTATGAAAAAAAAAAGAAAGAAAGAACCATTTTTAAAACCTGGAAAATATATCTACTACTTTAATCTATGTCTTAATTGCCATGTCCTGTTTAAATGCTGAATATGTAATCCTGTTATGAGGTATTCCAGACAACTCTATTTCAGTAAACTCCTGTCTATCCAGAAAGCCAAGCTAGAAGAAACTACTGAAAAGTTTGTATGCACAATACTTTTAAGAAAAAGTCAAGTGACAAGGTACCTAATGAGAGTTTATTTCAAAAGCAAAGTTTACTAGAAATTCAGTCCTATTTCTGAATCTACACAAATGTGCAGCATAATAGCAATACCACAAAACAATGAAAGACACTCTAGATATTAAAAATTGATATAGGCATAAAATATGCATACCTTTGTTTTTTAAATATAACCAGAATATTTAATGTTAAATAATTTATCCTTAAGCCAAGACACAGAGACTTTCAAAACAAAATTGGTTCAATAATATTTAATGTTAAATAATTTATCCTTAAGCCAAGACACAGAGACTTTCAAAACAAAATTGGTTCAATATGCTTATATTAAAAAGAATAATAGAGGATAAACAGGGCTGCTGGCCAATCATTTAAAATTACATGCAAAGAAGGCTTTATTCTAATATATAAAAGTATCATTTTATATGATCTAGAGTGAAAACAGGAGCAGGGAATAAAATAGGTATTTCAGAATATTCTCATTTTTATATAAATTTTACACATATCATTGTGGGCATATGTTTATATGAATATTAAACATGTCTACAGCACTTATCTGTAAAATCTTTCTTTGCTTCTTTTTGTTTAGCTCTATTTTCCAATTTTTCCAACAATAAACAAAGTATTTTTGTACTAAAGAAAACTGGCTACCTTTTATCTTATTTAAAAAAAAATCAAATTTAGTATTCAATTTTAATGTTAAATAGAATTTAATTTCTTAATTAATCTACAGTACCAAAAATAGTTACATATTGAAATATTTTTGTTAAAGTACCTTCCTAGATACTAGAGAAGATAAGGGACTTCTCTTACCTAGGAAGGTACTTTAACAAAAATATTTCAATATGTAACTATTTTTGGGAACTAGTTAATGATTACATTAAAATGGGACATGCTGTTCCTCAGTAACCAATATATCTCAAGTATTTGAAATTTCAACTATATAATGAAAAATACATAGACTGAAACTACAAATTTACCTAATAATTTGTCCTTCTTCTTCTGGAGTAGCTGGTCTTAGCCCCAGAACTATGTGACATACCTAGGGAAAAAAATGGTAAATCAAAGTTTATTAACTACATAACGTTTCACATTCTCTGCATGAGACCCACTTTCTAAATGGGAAACTGAATTAGCAACAGCTTTCAACTCATGAATTATCAATGATTCACTTGAGCAAATTTTAACTTTAGCCTTGTGGTTTTGGGGTTTCGTTTGCTTTTTTTAAACAAGCCATTCCAATGGAGGCTAACTTTCAAATCACTAGGTAAGAAGGGAAGAGAAAGGGAAGGAAGAACAAGGGAAAGGAGAAGATACTACCTTAGGAATAGATTTCAGAATAATTCTACTGACATTTGCATATGCTAGATTTTAAATAACCAACGCACTCAGCCATGTGTAAGATTTTGGCAAATAAAAGCATAATTCAATATTGTATCACTAATCTAACAAGCTGATTCTATCAATTTTAAAACACAGATAGAAAATAAAAACAATTTAGCATTAACTGTCAGCTTACTCATATATTAATTGCATATATTAATTGTACATATGAGCATAACTGAAAATGTAACAAAGCACATATAGTAAAATGCAATAAAATTTAGGTGTTTTCTGAAAAAAAAAAAAAAGTTCAGCTTTTCAGAATAAAATGTTGGAAACATACACATAAGCAAGTCTAATGTATATATTTATTTATAAGTTAGAGTCACAAAAATAGTGCCACTCCAAGTCCTTGATAAGAATGACAAAATATGAAAGGCAATACCAAAAGTCAAAATGCTTTACTCTGTGAGAGCTACAAGATGACTCAGACACAAACTTAAGTGACCAAAATGTTCATACACTGAATATAAGAGTACACTGAATGCCTGTGTATGAACAGTACATGAACTGTAAACTGTACACGAGCAGTACATTGAATATGTTCATGTACTGTTCATATAAAAAGTTTGTACACTGAATATGAGATTGTTACTTTAAAAAGTAACAATAGTTTAATAATAATAATTTTTAAAAGCCTACAGAACTCACTATTGAAGATATTATTTAAAATGAGATAAAAATAGTTGACCAGGCCAGGCACGATGGCTCCTATCTGTAATCCTAGCACTTTGGGAAGCTGAGGCGGGAGTTGAAGACCAGCCTGGCCAACGTGATGAAACCCCATCTCTACTAAAAATACAAAAATTAGCTGGGCGTGGTGGCACGTGCCTGTAATCCCAGCTACTCTGGAGGCTGAGGCAGGAGAATCGCTTGAACCTGGGATATAGAGGTTCCAATAAGCCCAGATTGTACCACAGCACTCCAGCCTGGGCGACAGAGCAAGACTCTATATCAAAATGAATAAATAAATAAAAATAGTTGACTAATTTACTACTATTGTGTTGACAGCAGTGATTTATATTATTTTCACATATATTTTATAAAGCCATCAATTTGAATCTATGCTAAAATTAGAACTTGTAATAAAGCAAATAATTGATTTAAATGGATAATACAGGCTTATCAGGTTTTGTATGTTTTAAATATATAAAACTTAGTCATTAGCTCTCAGGAAGACACCAATTTCCATTCATTCCAACATAACTGTGTTGCAGACAAGTTATTCTTTATTTAACATGGTAGATCATGACACACATAAACTTACTAAACCATTCTGACCTTCACAGGGGTTGCTTTTATAAAGAAAGGAAAATAAAATAAGAAGAAACTAAAATAACCACTATTAAATCAACTTAAATATTTATGAATAACTATAAAAATGGGAAAATATGAATTACCTTTAAAAATCAGAGCAAGAGACTTTAACTAGAACAATAGTTAAAAATCTGTCAAGCTCTATGACTTAGTGTTCACTTCTGGTAGCTTTCCTTCCCACTTCAATGTTTCCTGGACCGTCTAAAGAATAAAATTAGGAAACAGCCTCATACCTTTAATGATCTATTAACCAGAGAGACTGTGTACTTTGAAAAACTTGGGCTGGGTATGATGGTTCACTCCTGTAACCCCAGCACTTTGGAAGGCTGAGATAGGAGAACTGCTTGAGCCCAGGAATTCAATACCAGCCTGGGCAACATAGCAAGACCTGTCTCTACAAAAAATACAAAAATTAGCCAGGCATGGTGGTGCATGCCTGTAGTCCCAGCTACTTGGGAGGTAAATCACCTGAGCCTGAGAAGTCAGGGCTACAGTGAGCCATGCTCATGCCACAGCACTCCAGCCTGCACAACAGAGCGAGATGTTGTCTCAAAAAAAAAAAAAGAAGAGAGAAAAGAAAAGTTACCTCCTTATGATTCATCTTTCTGTGCATACTGTCTTTATTAGAAAGGCCATTTATTTATTTATTTTTAAAAAATTCTTCCGGTCGGTCTTATTACACAGAAGGCCTTTAAAAAAGACAATAATGAAGAAACTAGCAAATTATGATGTTTTTTGCAATTTATATTAATCTCTAAATGCCTACGTACTGCTCTATAATGAGCTATATCTACATTCCACTTTCTGTGACAATTCTGAGAAACTTCAGCAAGTACCCATCTTTCAGATGGGTAATGTATAGTTCTGTTTTTTAATAATATTTGGTTTTACAGCCTAGACAAACAACAACTCTGGCTACTATATGATGAAAAAGATGTAGAAATACTGGTACTACTACCCTCTGTTGCTGTAATTTACCTTAAACATACCTGGAAAAGGAGGTTCAAAAATTCATTGGCAAGAACATTTTTCACACTCCAGATCTGATAGTCTTCCAGAGTAAGATGGCCCATCTGAAACAGAGATAATCATGTTAAGAAAATCCTCATTTTTAAAATATCATATGACTTAAATCTCATTTATTAAACTTATATTAGTCATGTTTCTGAAAGCGAAACAGTAATTTACAGTAGCTGCTATGTGTTTACCTGGAAAGTAAGCCAGCTAGTATAAATTAAAAAGTGACAAAACTTATACAAATGCCATTTGGAATTCTGTTCAAGCAGTCAAGGTAGCAAAGCAAATTATCATTGATAATCTTTCTCTAATAAGACCCGGGAAATAATTTACATTATATCTGCTTCAAGGCTTACGTATGGAAAAACCACAAAAGTTCATGGGTAAACAAAATGAAATATTTACTAAAAAAAATTTGAGGCCTGGCGTGGTGGCTCATACCTATAATCCCAGCACTTTGGGAGGCTGAGGCAGGTGTATTACTTGAGGTCAGAAGTTTGAGACTGGCCTGACGTACATGGCAAAAACCTGTGTCTACTAAAAATACAAAATTTATCTAGGCATGGTGGCAGGCACCTGTAATCCCAGCTACTGGGGAGGCTGAGGCAGGAGAATCACTTGAACCCAGGAGGTAGAGGTTGCAGTGGGCCAAGATTGCACGATTGCACTACAGCCTGCGTGACAAGAGCGAAACTCCATCTCAAAAAAAAAAAAAAAAAAAATTGGGACAAGATCTAGCTCAATTGCCCAGGCTGGAATGTAGTGGCACAATTATGGATCAATGCAGCCTTGACCTCCCAGGTGCAAGCAATCCTCCCACCTCAGCCTCCTAAGCACCATACCTAGCTACTGTGCCCAGACAAAAAACTTTTTTTTGTTTTTGAGTTGGGAGTCTCATTCTGTCACCCAGGTTGGGGCACAGATCATGGCTCACTGCAGCTTCAACCTCCTGGGCTCCTCCTATCTTAGCCTCACTTAGTAGCTGGGACTGCCAGTGCACATCATTACAACGAGCTAAGTTTTTCCAATTTTTTTGTAGAGACAGTCTCACTATGTTGGCCAGGCTCTCAAACTCCTGGCCACAAGCAATTCTCCAGCCTCAGCCTCCCAAAGTGCTGGGATAACAGGTGTGAGTCACCACACCTGGTCACTATTTATTAATTTTGAAAAGAAAAAACAGACTCTTGGCTGGGCTCGGTGGCTCACGCCTGTAATCCCAGCACTTTAGGAGGCTGAGGCCAGTGGATCATGAGGTCAAGAGATTGAGACCATCCTGGCCAACATGGTGAAACCCCATCTCTACTAAAAATACAAAAAAAAAAATATTAGCTGGGCATGGTGGCGTGCGCCTGTAGTCCCAGCTAATCGGGAGGTTGAGGTAGGAGAATTGCTTGAACCCGGGAGGCGGAGGTTACAGTAAGCCAAGATCATGCCACTGCATTCCAGCCTGACACCTGGTGACAGGGCAAGACTCTGTCTCAAAACAACACACAAAAAAAGCAGACTCTCTGTATCATGCTCTTTCATCCAAACAATTTTCTAAGATCTTAGAAATATCTGGCACACTAAAAGAATTCTTAAATATTTGAAGAAGCTTAATATATATATATATATCAAGATGAGTGCCTACATTATATTTCCCCAAATTACAATATATTACTTTTATAAATTGAGTAAAGCAACATTTTTGTCATGTCAATGTGTACCAAAAATTACATATACATATGTTTTTCTTTTTTCTTTTTTTTTTGAGATGGAGTTTCGCCTGTCATCCAGGCTAGAGTGCAGTGGCATGATCTCAGCTCACAGCAACCTCTGCCTCCTGGGTTCAAGTAAGTCACTGCCTCAGCCTCCTGAGTAGCTGGGATTACAGGCATCCACCACCACGCCCAGCTAATTTTTTTGTATTTTTAGTAGAGACAGGGTTTGACCATTGGCCAGGCCGAATAAGGTTATGAGTAGCTGGGGTTACAGGTCAGGAGTCTTGAACTCCTGACCTTGTGATCTACCTGCCTCAGCCTCTCAAAGCGCTGGGATTACAGGTGTGAGCCACCTGGCATGGCCATACATATATTTTTCTTGTCACTCAAAAATATAACCTTTGTTACTTTATGTGTTCAACATATGTATGTTTTTAGCTTTCATTATTTAATGATACTGATATATTCTCTTTTCATTACATATGATACATAAGATTTTAAATCAACATGATTATAATTATTGGCTTTCTTGATATGACTTTTGTTCAGATATGTTAATACTGATCTAAAGGTTGACTAAACAGAAAAGCATTTTCTTCCTCTTTACTTTCCTAACTCCCCTATAATACAGAAGGTAAACTAGTTCAAGCTCATTCTTGCATGTTTCCCTAAATGCATTCAATAGCAAAATTTTATAATTTGTGGTATTGCAAACATATATGGTTTAATCATATATGGTTGGTAAAATTCACTAAATATAGGTGAATTTTATCAACACAGTAGGAAATATTGTCCATTTTCTTTAAAAGAATTAGATAACTAAATCAATAAAGATGTTCAAGTAACATTATTTGTCCTCGCTTCCTTTTATGCCTCAAATATATTGGTGGCAGTCTGCACTATTAACAAGGAAAATATATATATTCACATTGTTTTCTAAAGAGAAAAAAATGTTGACTTGCAGAATCAGTGAAGTGTATAGATCAGCTGTCTTATAATCAAATGACAGACATGTGAGGGATTTAACAGTTAAGAAAATCACTGGGCATGATGGCATATCCTGTAGTCTCAGCTACTCCAGAGGCTGAGGTAAGAGGATCGCTTGAGCCCAGGAGCATGATTTGAGCCTGGGCAATATAGCAAGATGCCATCTCTTTGGGAAAAAAAAAGAAAATAAAGAAAATCCTCCAAATCTAGGCAGAGAAATAAGCTAAAGGGAAAGGAAGAAAAACATAACTCCTAATTTTTGTTTTTTCAAACAAGTTCACATTTGAAAAGTAGCAAGCAGGGAGAGGGGTAGGCAAATCACAAGATTATGACAAACACTGAATCACAGAATCTTTATCATGATCACTTTTCAAAAATTGTCCTATTCACTTATAATAGAGAAAATGCTATGAAGAGGTTTCTGTTTTTGCTTTTTTTTCCACCCAAATCAGTACAACAGAGGTCCCTGAATAATGTTTCATGCAACATCATTTTGTTATAATGTTGATGAGAAAAAAAATGGATTCCCAACTGGGGTCGCTGTCTGTGTGGAGTTTGCATATTCTTTCCACATCTGCATGGATTTTCTACAGGTACTCCAGTTTCCTCCCATGTCCCAAAGATATACATGTTAGGTTAGCTGGAATGTCTAAATTGTTCAGTGTGATAACTGTTGCTGTGAAGAGAGGAACATCACACTAGCAACATGGCAACAGAAGAACCTCAAAGGCTATGTAAGATCTGCCAATCTCCCAAATCAAGTATACAAGAAATTGGTGAAGAAAGGGTTTGAATTCACACTTACGGTAGTGGGTGAATCTGGATTGGTCAAGTTAACATTAATTAATTTATTATTCCTCACAGATTTGTATTCTCGAGTATCCAGGTCCTTCCCATAGAATAAAAAACACTGGCTGGAATGCAATGGTACGATCTAGGTTCATTGCAACCTCCACCTCCCAGGTTCAAGCGATTCTCCCGCCTCAGCTTCCCGAGTAGCTGGAATTACAGGCGCCTGCCACCACACCTGGCTAATTTTTGTATTTTTAGTAAATATAGGGTTTTGCCATGTTTTCCAGGCTGGTCTCAAATTCGTGACTTCAGGTGATCCGCCCACCTTGGCCTCCCAAAGTGCTAGGACTACAGGCATGAGCCATCGTGCTCAGCCTATATGTCTTATTTGTAAATGTCCTCCATTTAAATGTGGCCTTGATTTTCAAAACAGTGTCAGCTGATCACTTGCTCTGTTCTACTTAAATTTTTGGAGATTTCTCCATAGTTTGGTATACAGTTCAACTCCTGAGTTTTGTACTCAGGGCCCTTCAAGATACGGCCCCAATCTAGGTCCACAGCCTCCAGTATATGGATCTGTCATTGCAGTTCTAGGACTACACAGGATGTTTTCCTGTACAGTTCTATAAAGTAATAATGTCTTCTATTCTACCCCTAGTTGTTACCTCTTTTAGGACTCGCCTTTCAACTTTTTACTTCTGTTAACCACAATTAACTAATTATTAAAGTGTTGCATCCCAGCAGAAATCTTCTGGACTTTCAAAGTTCAATTTACATGGTTCCTTTTCTATCATTCCCACCATAATACCCTGTGCTAAACTTTTTTTTTTTTTGAGACAAGGTCTCACTCTGTCACTCAGTGCAGTGGTATAATCATGGCTCACTGCAGCCTTGACCTCCCAGGCTCAAATGATCCTCCTGCCTCAACCTTCCAAAGTGCTGGGATTACAGAGGAGAGCCAACATGCCCAGCCTCAACTTCTAACATAGCCCTGATCACACTTGTCTTTCTTTACCAGTAGACTGCAAACTCTCCAAGGGTAACATTTCTATCTCTTGTGCCACTATAGAGTATCATTAAATAGTAAATGGATGAATTAGATAAGACGGAGAAGAGATGGCAGTCAGAAAAAGAATGAGTAATATTGGTACAATCTAGTCACCAGTGAATATGATTAATAGGCTTGGTTAAAAAATTGGTAGTTCTATCCTAAACTTTCACTATTTTTTTTTTTTTGAGATAGAGTCTCACTTGGTTGCCCAGGCTGGAGTGCAGTGACATGATCTTGGCTCACTGCAGCCTGCACCTGCCAGGCTCAAGTGATTCTCCTGCCTCAGCCTCCCAGTAGCTGGGATTACAGATGTGTGCCATCACACCTGGCTAATTTTTGTATTTTTAGTAGAAACATGGTTTTGTCATGTTAGCCAGGCTGGTCTTGAACTCCTGACCTCAGGTAATCCACGCACCTTGGCCTCCCAAAGTGCTGGGATTACTGGGATTACAGGCATGAGCCACTGTGCCCAGCCTACTATCACTATTTGATTATCATGGTTACACTAAATGATCTTGTTTAAAGTTCACAGCAGAGCAAGAAGTAGAAACTCCACCTTACATAAAAGCTGACGGCAAAAATACCTGCCTATTTATGAAATACTCAGAAAAAAAGGTGTTCAAAATTTTATTTCTACATAAGAAATTTTCTAACAGAAATTTTTCCCAGTTTTTGCTCTCATACACTTCAAATAGAAGTCAATACTTTAGTTTCCGGCAGAGAGAGGACAAAGGGCACTGAATTGTCAAAGCTCTAGGCTGAAACTTATTTCTATTATTTGTTTCTATTAAGAATCAGTTAATAGGGTTCATGACAATTTCTTCTGAAATTGTGATTGAAGAAAGAAAAACAAAATTGATGTTCTTTATTTATTCTAAACTTCTATTCAATAACACCATTGTGGTATAGATCCTACCAATCTGCTAGTTGGTACATGTCAATGTTTCAGTAGGAAGACTCAAATGTATGCAAATGTGTCTCATACAGGTAATTTATTTTCCATTTCACAGGGTCACACAGACATCATAGTAATGCAAGCTATAGGAGTAAATCTATTATGATAACATTACTAATAAATGTTACCAAACTTACTAAGCCAAGGATTTTTTTTATAAAGTACGTGTTTATTTTTACTATTATATGCTCATTTATATGGCTGCCACTAAAGGACACAGGAGAGGTCCTTATCACAACGATTAAAAAAATTTTTTTAGGCCAGCACAGTGGCTCATGACTATAATCCCAGCACTCTGGGAGGCTGAAGCAGGATTGCTTGCGCCCAGGAGTTTACAACCAGGCTGGGCAACATGGTGAGACCTGGTCTCTACAAAAAAAAAAAATAGCTGGGCATGGTGGTACACACCTAGTCTTAGCTACTCGCAAGGCTGAGGTGGGAGGACTGCTTTAGCCCAGGAGGTCAAGGCTGCAGTGAGCCAAGATCCCACCACTGCACTCCAGCCTGGACAACAGAGCAAGATCCTGTCTCCAAAATAAGAAACTTTTTAAAAGAATAGATGTACTGGCCAGGCATGGTGGCTCATGCCTGTAATCCCAGTGTTTTGGGAGGCCAAGGAGGGAAGGTCACTGGAGGCCAGGGGTTCAAGACCAGCCTGCCCAACATAACAAAACCCTATCTGTACAAAAATATATATATAAAAAAAAAGCTGGCATGGTGGCACACACCTGCAGTCCCAGCTACTTTGGAGGCTGAGGTGAGAAAATCACTTGAAGCTGGGAGGCGGAGGTTGCAATGAACTGAGATCCCGCCAATGCACTCCAGCCTGGGCAACAGAGCAAGACTCTGCCCAAAAAAAAAAAAGAATATATGTACTGCCAGATTAATAGAAAAAACATTTCCATCATCTCAGATATCCTTATGGTTGTTCCCAATTAATCTGCACACCCTTGAAATCACTATTCAACTTCTATCACTATTTGTTAGTTTTGCTTCTGTATTCTTCAACTTCATATAAATGGAATCATATAGTATATATTCTTTTGTTTGACTTCTTTTGCTCAATATAAGGTTAGCCTTACCATAACTTAGTCAAATGGAAGAAACATAGATGACAGGCTATAGTTGTCAAGGGATGTGTCTATACATAATTCTTATAAAATGCCTAGCACAGGCTTATAATAAATGTTTTCATATACAGTATATTACCCTTCAGAGTTGCTTAAAGATGGAATGGCTCTCTTTAGAGATAACTTGGAGGTGTTTTACCCACAGGGCCAGGTAAGTACTTGGTAGAGAGGATGAGGAAGAGATTCAAGCATGTATATAAGCTATACATTCCAAACAGAGTACATGATATTTTTAAAAAAAGATGAATTAATTCTACCTAGACTCACCTTTGTGGTGTCATGTGCATTCAATATGCCTTCTACAATGTCAGAGAGATCCATATGTAATTCCTTTAAAAACAACCCAAAGGAGCAATTAGAAAACAGTGAGTAGATATACTTTTAATTTTGTTATGCAGTGGCTAAAGTTTACTATATATTGAGCAAGTTTTGCCTTGTTTTTCTTGTAGAGATGGGGTCTCGTTATGTTGCCCAGGCTTATCTCAAACTCCTGGGCTAAAGCAATCTTCCTGCCCTGGCCTCCCAAAATACTGGGAGTACAGGTGAGAGCTACTGTGCCCAGCCTTCCTCAAGTATTTTTATAATTACCACAGACAGATTCTCATATTTGCTTTAAAAATTAAGATAATTTTCCTATGGTTTCATTCTGACTTTATATAGCTCAGTTTAAGAATTTTTAAGTTTCTTTCTTCAAAAAAAAAAAGAAGAAGAAAAAAACAAAAAAACGTTTTTTTAAGTCAAACTCTCTTCCCAATTTTGCATCTTCAGCTATAAATATTTTGAGTAGCATAATATAGTAACTAAAAGCAGTAACAAATTATTTTCTCCTTTTTATGAAACAAATTCCCTCCATTTTCCTGTTGGAAGTTAATATGCAACAAGACATACACAATCAGAACTTACAGGAATATCATCAGTGCGGTTGTCCTTCCAGACTTCTAAAAGTGCAACCACCATGTCTCTCAGTTCAACCCTGGAGAGAACTCCATCACGGTCAACATCAAATACCTTGAAGCAAACTAATGAAAAGAAACTCTTATGGAGGAAAATTGTTTTTGTATTCTGAGGTATAATACATTTTATGAGAAGTTGCCCTTATATAATTACTTTGTTTTGTAAGCAAGTATATATATTCTGGAACAGTTCTTATCTGTAATAAACTATATTATGTCATTATAGTTCTTGGAACTTGTGGGACTTCCCAAATATCATGAATCTATTTCTCTAAATCATTATTCAGATATAAGACCCTACCTTCAGCCAAATCTAAAACTAAATTCCTTACAAACTTGTAACAAAAGGGCCAAGTTACTATACAATAAATATTACAATACCTTACAAGATTTTAGGAGGTAATGCAAGCCCCTAAGTTAATTTCTAATATTCAAAATTGATCATTGCAGAGTTGTTTCTTGTTGTTGTTGTTTTGGTTTGCTTGTTTAGACGGAGTCTCGCTCTGTCCCCCAGGCTGGAGTGCAGTGGTGTGATCTCGGCTCACTGAAACCTCTGCCTCCTGGATTCAAGCAATTCTCCTGCCTCAGCCTCCCAAGTACGTAGGATTACAGGCACATGCCTCTATGCCCAGGTAATTTTGTATTTTTGGTAGAGATAGGGTTTTGCCCTGTTAGCCAGGCTGGTCTCAAACTCCTACTCTCAAATGATCCACCCACCTTGGCCTCCCAAAGTGCTAAGATTATAGGCGTGAACCACCGTACCCGGCCAACAGAGTTGTTTCTTGTTTAAAATATCCTACTGATATCAAGTATTATAAACTGACATAAATAGAGTCCACTTCCATGTTACCTTTCCAGTATAACTAAAGTATATTTGTTTTTTGTTTTTTTGTCAAAAACAATTTTAACTTGTGTTTTTTGTGACGGAGTCTTGCTCTGTCTCCAGGCTGGAGTGCAATGGAGCATTCTCGGCTCACTGCAACCTCTACCTCCCGGGTTCAAGCAATTCTCCTGCCTCAGCCTCCCGAGTGGCTGGGATTACAGGGGCCTGCCACCATGCCCAGCTAATTTTTGTATTTTTAGTAGAGATGGGGTTTCACCATGTTGGCCAGGCTGGTCTTGAACTCCTGACCTCAGGTGATCCACCTGCCTCTGCCTCCCAAAGTCCTGGGGATTACAAGCATGAGCAACCATGCCCAGCCAACAATTTTAACTCTAATGGAATTCATATACAACATGCTAAGAATTAGAACACCAGTGCTTTGCTATGTGACTCCAAATGAATCACTCTAGTTTAACTTCTATTAGTTTATCAGCAAACAAAGACATAAAAAAAATTTTTTTTAGGGGAATAATTAATTTCAATGGAAAAGCAGAGCTGGGCATGGAGGCTCATGTCTATAACCCCAACACCTTGGGAGGCTGAGGTGGGTGAGTCATTTAAAGCCAGAGGTTAGAGACTAGCCTGGGCAACATAACAAGACCCTGTCTCTATTAAAAAAAAAATTAGCCAGGCCTGGTGGTGCATGCCTGTAGTCCCAGCTACCTAGGAGGCTGAGGTGGGAGGATCCACTGAGCCCAGGGGTTCAAGGTTACAGTGAGCTACAATCATACCAATGCACTGGACTCCAGCTTGGGCAACAGAACAAGATCCTGTCCCCCAAAATAAATTAAAAAAAAAAAAGACGGTGGCTCACGCCTGTAATCCCAGCACTTTGGGAGGCCGAGGCAGGTGGATCATGAGGTCAAGAGATCGAGACCATCCTGGTCAACATGGTGAAACCATGTTGTCTCTACTAAAAATACAAAAAATTAGCTGGGCATGGTGGCGCGTGCCTGTAATCCCAGCTACTCGGGAGGCTGAGGCAGGAGAATTGCCTGAACCCAGGAGGCGGAGGTTGCGGTGAGCCGAGATGGCGCCATTGCACTCCAGCCTGGGTAGCAAGAACGAAACTCTGTCTCAAAAAAAAAAAAAGGCAGAGATCTGAGTTTCCTTATCTAACATTAAATTGTAATGGAAACAATCTATCATAAAGCCAGTTTGAAATAGTATAACAACAGGAAATAAAAAAATAAATTTAAATTTTTAGTTGAAAAATTATCTATTTCATACATCCCCATAATATAATCAATTTAGTGCATCGTAGTACAACAGTACTAAATAAGATAAAAATATTGAACAGCACACCCAAAATATACAACATTTGTGAAAATTTTAGAAAAACATGGAGATAATGTCCCCAGTAAATATATTTGAGTTACATTCCAATTAAGTACAAATGACTGCATATTTTCAAATATGGTTAAGAATTAATAATGCAATGTGCTTATGCTTACAAATTATGCTACAACATTTTAGTTAGGTTAAAGAGATCATTTTAGTATTTAATAAAATTAGTTTTGACCGTAAGTTTTATTTTGCCAATGAAATATTAATCTGTGCCAGTGATGGAAAATGAGTTATGCCTCAATTTATGTAAGACACAAAATTCAAGCAGAAAATATTTCCTAAATGTTTAAAATTTTCAATTACATCATAGCTGATCTGATTCATTTATCATGAGTTGCAAATTATTCAGAAAAATCAACCCCACTGTTAATAGCAAAGATCCCAAATTATTCCATAGTAAAAAAAGAAGAGGTGACTGATTCCTTAGAGTGACCTCAGTAAAACCCCAGTATGAGATTAATATTTGCTAACCTGACAAAGTTATAAAAATTCAAGCCTTAATCCACAGATAATTTTACATGAATGAAAGCTGATTTTTCTCTCTACACAGTTTGTAATTTTTGTCACAATGTTTAACACACTTACATTTTTGTCTTTCAGCCAGGGGTCCCCTGCAACAGGCTGATAACCCACAAGATATCTCCTTAAAATCTATGTGATTGTCACGATTTTCATCAAAAGCATTAAACAAACCTATAAAATAGAAGGCACCATAAATTACAGCCAAACTTCCTAATGTTAATAATGACATGTTTACAAAAAAAAAAAAAAAGACTGTTTCCCATAAATTGAACTTTTAAAAAAATGTATTAGCAGTTTCTAATGTTTCAGGAAGTATCTCTTTTTCTCTTGGTATAATTACAACTGAAACTTGTGATCATGGCAGAAAACATATTATAAACCTTTAGTGTTTGGTTATGTCTATTTATATTTATCTGCCATAATTTTAATGGCTAAAATGCCTATATAATTTTGACATAAATATTAAAAACCAAAAAAAGGTCAGAAATTATAACAATTATCCTTACTTAGAAAGACTGAGAAGAAAAAAGGAAAAAAGAAAGAAAATCTGAACTTCTTATTAAATGATACACTATGATATCATTAATAAGCTCCCATAAAGCTCCTTCATGAGTCAAAGAAAGATACACTACCATGCAACACGAGAGAAAGAAATTCTCTACTACAGTGTCTGTACTGCTTAATCTTTTATACATGAATATTTTAAATTTCACAAAGGGAATTTATAATCTCATGCTGTGGTTTTCAAATATTTTATAAAAAACAGAAATGAAATAATTTTGTTTTCAAATGAAATGATACATCAATTCCAATTCTGAAAAGGTAAAAACACACTGCACTGTTGCTGAAGTAGGTAGAAACCCAGAGCCCTATCTGCCCTGGATCCCCTGACAAGTACTTCCAAGTACCCTAGAAATGTAAAGAATACAAATTGTATATTTCAAGAATATAATGCAGTGTTCTCAGTTTAGCGATTTGAAAACTAAAGCTCAGAGAAGATTACCTGACTTGCCAACTATAAGTTTAAAAAGATCAGAGATGGAAGTGGAACCCAAGTTTTCATATTCCAAATATGATTTTTATGATGTGCTCACAATTACTCTTTGTACTCTTTATTTTAAAAAACAGTAACAGCAGGCTGGGTGCAGTGGCTCATGCCTGTAATCCCAGCACTTTGGGAGGCCGAGGTGGGTGGATCACCCGAGGTTGGGAGTTTGAGACCAGCCTAACCAACATGGAGAAACCCCATCTCTACTAAAAATACGAAATTAGCTGGATGTGGTGGCATGTGCCTGTAATCCCAGCTACTCAGGAGGCTGAGGCAGGAGAATTGCTTGAACCTGGAAGGTGGAAGTTGCAGTGAGCTGAGATTGTACCACTGCACTCCAGCACGGGTAACAAAAGCAAAACTCTGTCTCAAAAAAAAAAAAAAAAGGAACATAAATAAGTTTAAAGCTAGAGAGCACCTCAGAGATAATCTAGTCCAGTAGTTTCTTAATCGTTTTTTGCAGGGGAGGGTATAGCAGTGGAATCTTCTTATGTAAAAGAAAAAAAGTAGAGGCACCCTACTGGAGGAAGAGATGAGGTCCTGTGTGAAAACATGGAGCTCTGCCCATTCAGTGGCCGCCATGTGACTCCAGGCAGCAGCTACTAATGCACCTTACTGAAACATAGTATCACAACCACTGACTTGGTCAAATACATATTATACATGAGCATCCTCAGGTGCAGGGAGCTACACTAATTTATGCAAGGTTATTAACAGGTAGAATATCAAGCTCAAAACTATAATATTAATTCCTATTCGTTTTTCCCCACTCCATTACACTATTTAGAAGAAACCTGAAAACATAAGAAGAGGGTCACTCAGAGTTAAAATGTGAGTTAAAATATGAGATGGGCTCAGGTACGTTTACCAATGAACATATGTAGAAAACAGAATGATTCCTACCTTCACTTAGAGATGGACGAATAGGTGGTGAAACCAATGGGCCAAATGTCTCTAAATCAAATCGTCCAGTGCGGGATTGAGCCTTCAATAACCAATAGCGTTTCTCCAGATCAATGATGTCTGATTCCTCCACTAAGGGTCAAATCAAAAAAGATTATAAAATCTCAGAATTCTCTTCTCGGGAGTTCAGTTCATCCTGATAATATATCTTCCAATCACAACCAAAAATAAAACTCAAATTTATTATATCCAAAATGGTAGAAAAATTAAACCAAAATGAAGCTTCAAAACAGAAAAAAAGAAATCTACAATTCTCCATTCAAGTAGGCTGTTTAAATCCAACATTTAAGATAATATACAACTAAGCTATTTCTTTTGGGTTTCCCACACCACTTTTACCTGTACTGATTTTATTATTTTTTTTTTAAAGAAACAGGGTTTTGCTCTGTCACTCCCAGGCTGGAGTACAGTGGCATGATCACAGTTTCCTGCAGCCTCAAACTCCTGGGCTCAAGCCATCCTCCTACCTCAGCCTCCCAAGTAGCTAGAACTACCTGTGCATGCCACCACATCCAGCTAATTTTTAAAAAAAAATTTGTAGAGCTGGGGTCTCACTATGTTGGTTAGGCTGGTCCCAAACTCCTGGCCTCAAGTAGTCCCAAAGTGTTGGGATTACAGGTGTGAGCTACCATGCTTGGCCGTTTTTGTTTATTTTCAATCTCTATTTTGGATTTAATGTTTCTGTGTACAGCTTCTCTCCCACAAGACTGTAAACATCATAATGGCAGAACCCATGCTTGATTCATCCTGTCAACACAATGAATGACTTACACTTCAATACTTATTGAATAAATGAAAAAAGTCAAAAGTGACAGAGGAGGTGGAGTAGTATTAACTATGTGATAATATTAGCAAAGCCATGAAACCATGCACATTTTTCCTCATTCCTCAGAATATACATCAAAAATTGCAGATAGGCTCTAAACCATTTTATCTGTGTTTTTTTTTCTCAAAGGAACTAAAGTAAAATTTAGAAAGCATATACAAGACATTTGTCAATTAACACAGGAACCAAAGTGATCCTATTAAAATGTAAATATAGAAATTTCAAATTCTATCTATAATGGAGTAACTAGCACCAGATTTGCCCTCCTACCACAAATGACCAGAAAACTGTATAAAATATATAAAACTGTTTCTAGAAATTAGAGAATAAGCAGTACAAAACTGTGATCCTTGAGACAAAGGAAATATACAAAGTGAGCCTTTTCATTGCCCTGAATTTTTTCTCACCATCTCTTTCCAAACCTTAACAAGGGATGAAGACTGTAAGAAGTTAAGAAGATAGGTTGGAGGTGAGGTAGCTGAATTTTGCAGAACAGAGTACTCGAGAAGAAAGAGTTATGCCAAAAAAAAGCTCCAGAAACCTGCACAGGTGTCTTACTGAGTTTTGGTAGAATAGTAAGCTGTGTATATACAAAGTGAAACACATTGAAATTGTTTTGTTTTGTGTGTTGCTGTTGTTTGAGATAGAATCTCGCTGTCACCCAGGCTAGAGTGCAGTGGCATGGTCTTGGCTCACTGCAACTTCCGCCACCTGCCTGGGTTCAAGGGATTCTCGTGTTTCAGCTTCCTGAGTAGCTGGGATGACAGACATGTGCCACCACACTAATTTTTGTATTTTTGGAGTTTCGCTGTATCGTCCAGGCTGGTCTCAAACTCCTGGCCTCAAGTGATCTGTCTGCCTTGGCCTCCCAAAGTGCTGGGATTACTTACAGGCATGAGTCCATCACACCTAGCCCAAAAGCTGGGAAGCTATAAGCTAATAAAGTACCAAAGCTCATGCAGTGGTGGGAGATGTCTGAGTTGTGACCAGCTGGAGTGGAAACACTTTGTTAGACAGTGGAAGCATTTGTGGACTCCAGTGGGTCTCTACTTAATAAGTAGGGAAAAACTAATTCTAGAGTAAAGACTACTCCAAACTTGTCTCAACGAATCTTACAAACAATCCTGAAAAATATGGAGCTGATGCACAAGTAACTTAACTACCTATCAAAATAAAACACAACTTCCTTTTTTAAATTTATTATTATTATTTATTACTATTTATTTATTTAAGATGGGGTTTCACCATGTTGGTCAGGCTGGTTTTGAACTCCTGACCTCAGGTGATCCGCCCGCACTGGCCTCCAAAGTGCTTGGATTACAGCATTGAGCCACCACATCCAGCCTATTTTTTTTATTTTTTATAGAGACAGGGTTTCACCATCTTGGTCAGGCTGGTCTCAAATTCCTGACCTTGGGATCCACCCACTTCGGCCTCCCAAAGTGCTGAGATTACAGGCATGAGCCACAGCACCCAGCCACAACTTCCTTTTTTAAAGAGAGATAACAATCCAGATGCTCAGCCACATAATATCCACAATGTCTCTCATCCAAAAAAACCATGAAAGCAGTAGAAAAATGTGACCCAAAATCAGGATTAAAAGTTAGTCACTAGAAAAAGACCTAGAAATAACAATGATGTATTTAGCAGGCAAAGCTTTAAAGTATCTCTTATAAGTATCTCAGGAATTAAAGAAAAACATGCATATACCTAGGAAAGAAATGGCAACTATAAAAAAGTATCAACTGGAACTACTAAAGATGAAGAATATAATACTTGAAATTAAAGAAAATTCACTAGAGGACTTAACAGCAGATTAGAAACTAGAGAGGAAAGATTAGTGAACTTGAAGCCTAGGCAAGAGAAACTAAATGATAGCATAAAGAGGAAAAAGGCTAAAAACGTATTAGAATCTTAGAGACATGTAAGATAATATCAAACATACATACAATTGGGATCCCAGAAAGAGATAGGCAGAATATATTTGAAATAATAATGGCTGAAAACTTTCTAAAATTCATGAAAACTATATTCCCACAGATCCAGAGATTCAATGAACCTTGTGTTAGAAAACTCAAAACCGTAATAAGGCAAGTCATAATCAAACTAGTGATAAAGAAAAAAATCTTAAAAGGAGCAAGATGGGGGAAAACACACATTACAAACAAAAGAACCAAGATAATAGTTTCTCTTCAGAACAAAAGCCAGAAAGCAACAGGGAAGAAGCGCTGAAATAGAAAACAAAACTGCCAACCTCAAATTCTGTATCTTGTGAAAATATTATTCAAAAATAAACACAAAGTAGATTTTTTTTGACAAAGTGGAAATAGCAGAACCACACCAAAAAGAATATTAAAGGGCATTCTTCAGACAAGTGAAGTGTCTAATAAAGAGTTAAATCATCAATATATACAATTAGAATCCACGAAGACTACAACAGATAGACAAAGACAGACAATTCACAAAAACATGGGATGAAGTTTAATTTCAATACTAAAAAAAAATATTTCAGAGGAAAAATGTAAACAGAATAAGGCTAATGATACTACTCCTCTGTCTCAAAACCTTTCGATACTTCTCCATGATACCTGCATGGCTTACTCCCACAACTCCAGATTTTTACTCAAATGCCACATTCTCACACCATCCAGACAGCACCCCATTCAAAGACATTCCTCTACCCATCTTCCCTGTTCTATTTCACTCCATAATACTTATCAACTCTAATACAGTAAAATTTATTGAGTTGATTTGTTTATTGAGAGTCTCCCCTAACTAGAACATATGCTTGAGGGCAAAGTTTCTGGTATGTTTTGTTCACTGTTATAGTCTAACACCAGAATAATCCCAGGCACATTTTGAGCACGCAATAAATAAGTTTAATGAATAAATGAGAATTATTAACTGGGCGTGGTGGCTCACACCTGTAATCCTAGCACTTTGGGAGGCCAGGGCAGGTGGATCACCTGAGTTCAGGAGTCTAATACCAGCCTGGCCAACATGGTGAAACTAAAAATACAAAAATTAGCTGGTCGTGGTGGCATGTGCCTGTAATCCCAGCTACTCAGGAGGCTGAGGCAGGAGAATCATCACTTGAACCTGGGAGGCGGAGGTTGCAGAGAGCCGAGACTATACTACTACACTCCAGCCTGGGCAACAGAGTGAGACTCCATCTAAAAAAAAAATTATTTGTTGAGCTATTTGATATATACATATACACATATACCCCCTCACACCCTTCTTCGGGATAATGCTAACTGTAATAAAAGATAACAATTAGTACCAGACATGACCTTGGCATCTAGTAACTTTCTCTTTCTCTCTCTCTTTCTTTCTTTCTTTCTTTCTTTCTTTCTTTCTTTCTTTCTGTATGTATGTATGTATGTATTTATTTATTTTCCTGTTAGGTCAGTTTAGTAAGGTAACTCTTAAGTTACCTGGGAAGACAAGAACAAAGTACCCTAAATTTCCAGGGCCTTCAAAGCATTTGATTACATACATACATACGTGTGTGTGTGTGTGTATGTATGTATGTATTATATATATATATATATATGTATGCATTTTTTTTTTTTTCCAAAGACAAAATCTCATTCCGTTGCCCAGGCTAGAGTGCAGTGGTGTGATCTCAGTTCAAATGTAACCTCTTCCTCCTAGATTCAAGTGATTCTCCTGCCTCAGCCTCTGGAGTAGCTGGGATTACAGGTGCCCGCCACCACACCCAGCTGATTTTTGTATGTTTAATAGATGAGTTTTCACCATGTTGGCCAGGCTGGTCTTGAACACCTGACCTCAAGTGATCCACCTGCTTCAGCCTCCCAAAGTGCTGGGATTACAGGTATAAGCCACCATACCCAGCCTCCCCAGCAGTTTTAATAAAAACTTCAGGGGAAAAACTTTTTTTCCCATCAGCAAGATAATTAAGACATAGTTATATCAGTATGTGTATCTGTACTGCATTTGTGCAAGAAATACCATAGTCATGAAAAGCACTGAATAAATAAATATATATACCCCACTATTTTATATAGGGTTTTTTGGTTTTGTTTTGACAGGGCCACACTCTGTTGTCCAGGCTGGAATGCAGTGGCATCATTAATGGCTCACTGCAGCCTTGACTTCCCTGGCTTAAACAATCCCGCCCTCAGCCTCTTGAGTAGCTGGGACTACAGGTGTGCACCCCCATGACTGGTTACTATTTTATCTTTTGTAGAGAAGAGGTCACTACATTGCCCAGGCTGGTCTC